GTAACTTCAGAAAGCTATGAAACGGAAAACAAATATCACCATTCGGCTCAGCGTGGCAAGTTACCCCTATATAGAACCATTTTAGCCTAATGGAAGATCATTTGGCTGATTTCGGAGCTCTTGGGAAAATGCTTATAACTCCAGAACAAAATGACATGGTGAGCTCGGCCTTGCGTAGATCGAAAGAGAACAATTTTCTCTATCGATTGATATCATTGAAAGTTCAAATTGAACGAAAATTAGTAGCACGAGGCAGCTCACAAAATGTCCAGCAAACGTTCTCCTGGTTGGTCAATTGCTTGACCATTCAAAATCAGTAGGATTTTGTAGCCCCCGGCTTGCTCTTTTGAATGGTGAAAACCGCAGCTCGATAACTCAAAGTAATCGAAAGTTATTCAGAAAATGGTCGTTAGTACTTTTTAAAAAATCCGACATTAGTCGCAACATATGACCTACATTGATCCTTATTGCATTTCTGGAAGATGAACTAACAGGAGGATGAAGAAATGCGTCTCAAGACGTATAGAACGAAATAATTTCCTCCTGATTAGCAACAGTAGCTACATGGTATATCTCATTTTAATAACACAGGGATTGCGCGAACAATTTTCTTTTTTTGGTAGTTCATTTGAAATAAGAATCCCTTCGAAAGACAATTGAAGTAACTAATAAAAATGATGTTTAATGATTATTTAAAAGGATGGGGATTATAAAGTTCAATTTTTAGACCATTCTCTTTTCTCCTTCATTCCTAGATGATGTAATGCAAAACTTCATGAAGAATCGCTTAGTAACGAAATAAAGTGATTTTTTGAATAATTCAAACAAGCTCTCGTCCAATTTATTGATATTCACATTTATACTATAAACGCACAACTTATCCATGGGAGAGTGAATCCAATAAATTTTCTCGTAATGACACATTCTAAAGTGAAAACTATGTCAATTCACTATTCATCGTATAGTCTTTCTCTAGGAAAATTTCAGCTTGTAGCGGTCGACGTCCTACTGAATAATGACGTAAATATAAAAAGAAAAAGTAACAGGGTTTTTGCTTGATTCTGAAAGCTTGTAGGAAGGGCTATAATACTAAATATCTTTTGATTTTTTGGGAACTCACATGTTTTCGAAGAAAATAATGAGTGAAAATTTTAAGTCGATTTTTTTCGGCTACGCACCTAGAGGTGTAAGCCGAAGGGCCAAACAGCGGCAGCGCCTTTAACGGTCATTTTTTTTTGCATAGCAGCGGCGCTTCCTAGACTTTATGTTTTTGTACACCGACAGCGGCGGCGTCAATTTTTTATTTTTTCTTCCAAAGCGGCGGCTGCTGCTAGACTTTATGTTTTTCTGCACCGGCGGCGGCTTTGACAACTAAAAAAAGAAAAAAAACGTCTTTGCATATGTATCGATGTCAACGGCGGCGGCGCCTTATACTATTATCAAAAGTTTTCGTTCATGACGGCGGCGCACCGGCTGAACTTACTTTTTCACAGCGGCGGCTCCTAAAAAATTCTTAAAATTATCCACGATTCCGTGGCGGCGGCGGCTTACTTTTCAAAAAAATCGGCGGCGGCGGCGGCTTAGACCGGCGGCTTACACCTCTATACGCACCCCTATCCCTATTTTCCTCACTTTCCCAAAAATGACTCGAGTGTTTTTAGACACCATTGTCGTGCATGTTTTCACTGAGTTTTTTCAGATTCGAATTGGAAAAGCAAAGTTTGAGTCACAGTGAATAATGTATTTCGAATCAGCATAACAAACTACGTCAACTGACATAATTTTCAGTTAGGAATGTCCTACGAGAGAACGTCTATCATTTTCTAATCTCTTTTCTTACCGAATCTAGTGGATTACAGGCAACTGACCGTGCTGATAGCCAATATCAATATGCGATCAACATCTAAAACTCTACAGATCGATTTTCCTGACAACCAGCTTTTCATAGTCAAAACTTTTTTTCGCCAATTTTTTTTATTCGTTCAGAATGTAGAACACGTCTAGTTGACTGAAAAATGCTATTTTTTTCATTAGAGAAGAAATGCTTGGGTCACCAGAAACAATACTTTCTTTTCCTTTTGATTTTTACAGAAAAAAATTGTCTTCGTCTTCTCACGTTCTTTTGAAGAAATATGTTTGAACGATACCAATCACATGTACTTAAAAAAGTTGCTGTTGAAGAACTCAGCACATGCTAATCATTGTTATTTTTCTAGCAGTATGAGTGAAGTCAGAAAGAGCACCTTCCTTAACGAAAAAGCTTGCTTGAAGTAAATGAAAGGCATGTCTCATGCCAAAAACTGAAGTATTATCAACTATTATTCGTACACCAAAACTTAAGGCCTGAAGAAGTCAACTCGTGTTTTTCTACGCTTTATTGATTAAACTTTTCATATACATGTAAAATATACAACAACAAAACATAAAGTGGTTGCGGCACGTAAGCTATCAATGAAAACCGTTTAGAATAAAAACTTGGATCTACTACACTTCAGACGAAGACATTAAACTGGAAAAAGCGTTTTGCAATCAACTTGATTTGCTCTACAATCTGAAACGATCGAAAAAGTTCTTGATGAAAGTTTTTTTTTCTATAAAATACTGGTTTTCCAAGAAATGGGTCTCTGGAATCCTAGCTATCTCTCTCATATAAATATACGCAATCCACATGATAGATCACCTGAAGCCCAAATGATTTTATGAAAAAATAATCGATTGAGTACTTAGGAGCCTTTCCTTGTTAGTATGAGAGAATACATGCGAATCACCCATTCACGTAAGAATCATGCATTTATGGTACAAACTTGAATATCATTAATTTGAGCGAGAATAGGTCTAGATCCTTCGAAAATCGCTTCATTTTATTATCAAACTATTCCTCATGAAATTTTGTATGAGGTAAACTATGAATAAGAGGAAAGTGACGATGATTCAAACATGAATCATAAGCGCTAACATCTTTTTTTGTAGAATTATCAAGCATTATACATTTCAGTCACGTTAACGATTTTTGATTTCCGAGACATAGTCTATTCTTCAACTCATATGAGTTTTATCAAAAAAGTCGTTTTACTGAATTAATCATTTCAAGTATTAGAATTCGTTAAAGAACCAAAGAAGTATAATGGAAAAAATAATTTTCATATTAATTAGCCAAATGTGATAGTTTGAATAGCTGTGAACAAATGTTATTTAATATTGAAAAGAAAACATTTTCTATTTGCACCTCACATAACCAACCTCAATTTAATTATATGTGAATGGTTTTCGTTGTGTTCAACTAAAAACAAAGTAGCGTTAAGATTTAAATTTTAAACAACTACAATTATATTTAGAAAATCAAAGACAAAAAAAATAAATGAATTTGATTTAGTTAAGATTTTCAAAATATAAGAAAAAATGAATGAACAAAATATTGGAACATTTTTATCATCCGATAAATTACGGTCGAAAATAATAAATGAAGGTGAAGAAAATCGTGTAGAAGTTAATCAACGAATGTTAATTGATAAAATGTTGGCACGTTATTCATCTGAATTTGTTGTTTATCGAGAATTGATTCAAAATTCGGATGATGCTCAATCAACATCATTTACTCTTGAAATAACTTGTGATTCATCGACTGCAAAAATAAATTATCAATCGGTTAATAAAGATCATTTATCCGCTAATCAAAGAAGGAAGCCAAAGGTGTTAGCAGGTATTGGACAAGTACTAAAAAATCATGGGAAAACAAAAACAATAAATTCCAATAAAGATTTGAATGATAATTCATTAAATAGTCAATATCATCCATGTGAAAATGATTTTAATAATTGTATAATAACTGAAATTCGTACGATAAACAATGGAAATGTATTTAGTGAAGATGATTGGAAACGAGTTATAACTATAGCTGAAGGAAATACAAATGTTGATGCTATTGGGCAATTTGGTGTTGGATTTTTTTCAGTTTTTTCATATTCCGAACAGCCAATGATTCAATCTGGCAAAACTTGTTTAGCATTTTCATGGCAAAATGGAAAATCATTAACAACATTTCGTAAGGAATTATCCGATGATCAACAATCATTTTCAACTTCAATTATTCTTAAAATGAAAAATAATTATATTTTAAAAACAAAATCAACATTAGAAATCAATGAAACACATAATGATATTCATGCATCAACAAAATCAAACAAAAATACTCTTACAAATGAAATTGTATCTACAATGGATTTAACACAACTTAAAGCTTTTTTTACAAAAGTTCTCTCTTTTACTAAATATATCAATGAATTAATCATTAAAATAAATGGATTAACGGTTTTTCGAGTTAATAAAACAAAACAAACTTTATCATCAACCAAATTATCATTAGTAGTAAACAGACTTACCTCAAATAATACACATAATTTACTTCGTTTTAATTCATTTATACAAACGGAACAAAAATTTTCTATTCACAAAGGTCCATCAATAATACTTAATCATATTGATGTTCACGCTGAATTAATTATTGATAAAGATTTCCATGAACAACTTCGAAATGTTTTGAAAAAAAGTTTACCTTCAATTTTACATATTCAATTTTTATTTCCATCAAATAAAGTTTGCTTTCTGTTTTTATGATTTTTATAGAATTCTATCTCTCTTTTATTTGAAGATACTTCAAGAACAACAATGGAAATCATTAACAAATAATAATTTAAATAATCAAATATTAAAAGAATTAATTCCATTAAAATTTCATGATCAAGAAATTCTTCCATCTGGTCAAATATTTATTGGTTCAGCAACACATCAAACAACAGGTATTGGTATGCATTTATTTACTCATTTTATTCCAACAGTTGAACGTGAAAATATTGATCTGCAAGATCCATATATTTCCATTTGGAATGAACAACTTCTAATATCAGTTGGCAAAATTATTAGATGTATTTATGATCAAAGTATTCTTGATGTTGTTAATAATATTCAACAGGAAACAAACCAACAACTCGAGCTTTTTCTAGCTTCTTATGCATTTCAACCATCAGCACCACATAAAGATATTGGTTAGTAGAAAATATCTATTTCTCAAATTATTCAACTGTTTTTTTCTTTAGGCAATCTCCTTCTTGATGGATTTTTTTTATCGAATGAAGATATTCTGGTTCCAGTAAAGCGATCTCCATCGGATAATCATCTTTCATTGATTTCATCGACAGAAGCTTTTTTGACAAATTCTAAACATATTGAAGCATTTCTTCATGTGCCTCTTGTTCCTTTTGCTATTGGAAAAAATAATTTTTTTGAAGTTTTAAAAGACCGTCAATGGATTGAAGAAATCGATAATGAAACAATTTTAGTTAAAATTCATCAATCAATTTTTTTATTTAATGAATTTATTGAATTACTTCGTTGGTTATGTAAATATGATATTAATAATAATAAATCTGATATAAAGAATGTTCTTTCGAAAATACATTATCGCGAAACCCATCAATCATCTGTTATTAAATTAGAAAATATTGAATTTTATAATACTCTAAATACAGGTTCTCTACCACTGCCATCAAATGTATTACCATCGAATATAGCTGATCATATATCTCATGAAGACTTACAAACACGATTATCATTATCAACAATATTACCGAAGAATTTTGTTAAATATTATCTCGATGAAAATCAACAGCAACTTTTTCATAATGAAAATACATCTAAAATTCTTCTGAGTGTTATTTGTCAGCATTGGAATCAATTCAATGAAACTGTATCAAATAAAATAAAAATTATTTTATCTAGCATGAAATGTATTCCAACAGGTCAAGGTATGAAATCACCAAATGAGTCATATATTCGATCATCAAATTTATCTCCTGATTTACCTATAATTACACTTTATATTCCACAACTTGAACAAGATAATTATCAAAAAGAAATACAAGAATCAACAGAT